CCTTTACCTTCTCTGGGGAAGCAGGTTTGGGGAAATAACAAATGCTGATTTACTCTGCAGTGGTTATAATGTTTTAGTTATATGAGTTGATAAACTTCTAGAAATACACAATACAATATTGTGCCTACAGTGTACTGTGCCCTAAAAAATTAGTTGAGAGCAGATGGCATTTTCTTTCAAACAAAACCTAAAGCGATCAAACATTATCATTACTCTGAATAGGTGAGGGATTAATCTTGTTCAATACATAAAATTTAGACTACTTGATCGCCACATAAAAGTTTCCAGGAAAGTAACATTCAGAGGGCAACAAATGCAACAAGCAATGTGAGATACCTTGCTTGAATGTTCTTAAAGGATTTTCCATCATCTGTAATTCTGGTTTTCTAATAGCCTATATAAATTCTTCTCATGCTTGAAATAGTTATTTTCTTTTAAGTTAGAAGTATCTTTGTTTTGGCTGCCATAATAAAGAACCGTAAACTGAGATGCTTCACCACCAAAAATTTATCTCTTGCAATCCTGGGCCTGGAAGTCCAAGATTGTGTCAGAATGGTCAGGTTCTGATGAGGACTGTCTTCCCGGTTTGCAGGTGGTTCTCTTGCTGTGTCTCCACATGCTGGAGACTAATACTGTTTCACATAAGAGAAGTAACACCATGAGAACCACACCCTTACAGACCTATTGCTTCTCCAACAGTGGTAAGTATTATCACTGTTGTAAGTGATACAATATATGGACTTTGGATGATATAAATATGCAGTTCATGAGAGGAGGCTTTGGAATATTTGATCCACAATACTGCTAAAGATGTAAATTCACTCTTCTGCTATCCAGCCTTGACACACAGTCTTAAATGTTAAGATTGCTTCTTCTCACAAATACGTGCTACCTTGCTCTATGACAAGTTGTGGACACTGTGTAATGCTGGATTTACTAAGGAAAGTGTTGTGGCTGGTTTTCACTTGAGTTCTGCACTTGTCCATTTTTTCTGGGAATCAGTTCAGCTTTATAATTAGCATGTTATGATACAATGGTCCTAATAGTCTCACTCACTCTCCAGCCCTTCATGCAGAGCTTGGACCATTTGCTGCCTTTGTACAGACACACATCAGTGCAGTCACCTTTGTGAATTGAATCCAGCAGAGCAATGAAGTTGGCCTTGCTTCAAATTCATATTGGTGCTGAGTACTGGCAAGGCCACAATCACATGCAGCACAGAATATTGTGTTATTATTAACCTATATTTTTCACCACGTTGATCTTTGTCTTGCTTTCATTTTCTTCATCTATCATAGCATTTCTTTAAGGCAAAGTATTTGATAAATGTAATAAAAATAAACTCTCAAAACAAAACAAAAGTCTTCAGAAAAAAGATAATAGCAAAAGAATTTCATTTCAGTGAATAAGCCTTAAACCAGAATGCGATGTGCATTCCAGGGAAATTACTAACAGGTTGCAATGATAGAATGAAATCTCCTCTGTCTATATAGAAAAGCACATACAGCTCATTATGGTCATGTTTTCAAGGGAAACAGTTTGGTTTTTTTCTTTTTTCTTTTTTCTTTTTTTTTTTTTTTTTTTTTTTTTGTTTTTCTCCGTTACCGGGAACCGAACTCACGACCTTGCGCTTGCCAGGCAGGCACTTGCCAGGCAGGCGCTTTTGCCGCTGAGCTAAATCCCCAGCCCAAGGGAAACAGTAATCAGTCCCGAAGAGAACTCCACAACTTGTGTGTCACGCATAGTTCCTAAATCATCTTCTAATCAGATTGATTGAAAGGGCTCGATAATTGGCTTTATATGTAGAAGAAACAATTTATCAAATTGTGATAAGGAGTTATTTTATAAGTTGGAGTCATGCTCCACACCAGGAACTTATTTTCCTATTCACAAAGAAGGTGAGGGCCAGGAAACTATTTCTCTAGATTTTTACATTTCAAAGGTAGAGCTCTCAAATTACTGGGAAAAATATTCCAGGATCACAGAGCTGACCAAAGCTCTATGTATTTTTTCAAATGTATTTATATACATCTCAAAGAATAGATAGAGTAGGTGAGATTACAATATTTCTAAATTAAATGTTTCATTAAAAAGTACACAGTAAATATTTCTTCTCTTTTTACAAAGAGAATTAGGTTCTTATGTTTAATTTGTATTTGTCCTTCCAAAATAGTATTTGGCATCTACAAAAAAAGCTAAATTGAGAAAAAAAATATCTCTTTTTTGCTATTTATGTGATTTTATTTTGAAATTTTTTTGACCATTACATGTTTTAAAGAAAAAGATAAAATTCATCTGGCATTGAATTCACATGTGTGGAACAATAAAACCCTGAGATGTTAACTTAGGCATGATTAATTTAATTTTAAAAATTTTCCCTCCCATTCACTCTTTTCTCTGTTTCTATTTTAACATATTCTTATATAAAATATCACTAAGGAACTTTTGTGCTTAATACTTTTAAGAAATAGTATGGCAGTAAAAGAGAAAGACAGACAACTGAGACAATTGGGAGAATATAAAGTTATGCTTTTGTTTTTTTAAAGCTGAGGCTGGTGTACTCCTAGCTTCATTTATACCCTAAAACAATTGTTTGGAGTGAGAACAATGTAAAAATTAGCAGCAAATTCTTCTGCCTTCGTTAATTGGATAACTTTTATCTGAGGAGTAGGAACAAGGGAAGAGACAGAGATTACAAATAAGAACTGAAGGACTACTTGTAGAGGAGTGCCCCTTGTCCCTCTTCCAAACGGAAGATAGATGTGTAGTTAAGGATGAGTGCGTAATAAGGCTCCCTCAGGGGTGACTAATGATGTATATTCTGAAGAATTCAGAGTTTAGACAACCTGAGGATTTCCAATGTGAACCTGAAGGAGGCCACAAACTTATACAAGATTTTCTGATATTCAATTTCTGCATGGAGAAGAGAGCTGTACAATTCATCATTCTCAATTCCGAGCTCCTCTAGCCCAGAAGTAGAAGACAGAGCTCTGCCTTCATGATCCAATTACCTGCTACATTAGTAAGGGCTCTGCAGAGAGAACAGGACAATGGGATGGACAGAATAGAAATATTTGTACAGATATGGATGTAGATTTAGACACAGATAAATATAGATGTTAGAGACATAGAGATAGAGATAGAGATAGAGAAAGTCAAGATAGAGATAGAGATCAAGATAGAGATAGACATATGAAGCGGCCTTCATTAGGGGAATGTGACTGACAATTTTGAAAGCTGAGAAATCCCATGGTAGGTTGCCTACAAGTTGCAATGTGTTTAAATCTAAGTAAGAAGGCTGAAGAAGTAAGGAAGCCAGTGTTGTGAATCTCATTTTGAAGCAGAAAGTCTGAAAGTCAGGAGAGGCTGATGATTAATATTCCAGAGTCCCAAGGTCCAAGAACCTGTAGTTTTTATATCAATGGAAAAGAGGAGAAAGATGTGCTGCTTTGGAGGAGAGAGAAAGAATTCATCTTGCTTTTACCTTTTTGTTCCTTCTGGATCGCTTGCAATGTCCCAGCCCACACTGAAGGCAGATAGTCTTCACTCAGTCCACCAACTCATGTCAGTCTCCTCTGAAAATATCCTCGCACACATATTAAAAAAAAAATACATGCATTTCACTAGCCAGTTAAGCTCACACCTAAAGTTAACTTTTACACTTCACAAAAACCTCACTTTCTCGTATCACATTGGGAATTCAAGTTGAACATACACATTTCAAAATGATGCAAACACTCAGAGCATACAACCTGGAGAATTCAGATAAGTCCTCTAGAAGTATAGAACACTATAAACAGAATTAATGAATAGAATTATTTGTGCCTAATGGTCCAGATAGACAATAAGCAATGTACAAACCAAAAATTAATTGGCATGTTATGATAACTAATAGTAGCACTATGATAAAAATGAATGCATCTTTCCACATAAGGTGAATAGGCAGTGGCAAGATAAAGGAAGATGGAAAAGGTATAGTGGGTAATTTTAAATAAAATCAATAGTACTCCTCATAAGGATTATGTGAGCAAGGAGTTGTAGGAGGTACGTGAAGGAAGTCATCTCAATCAAAAGATTAACTGAATAAAGATACCAAATTTTAATAGCATCCTCAAAAAAAAAAACAAAAAAAGGAGAATAATGCTAGTAACAGTCACAAAAAAAGACTAATTATAGCACCAGTAGTACCTTATCAGGGTAAGTCTGGCATTGGCACAGTGGAAGAGATAGCTAAAATTTTCATTCAAAAGTTTTCATGTGAACTTGATACATGTGCATAACACATCTTAATTTTTCAATTCCCTTTTCCCTGCTCTTTACCTACATCTCTTAGCTTCCTCTCCATTTGCAAAAGACCTATCTCTCCAACTAAAAGAATAACACCTATCTCTAACTACAAAGACCTAGTTCTAACTAATAATAAGAATAAGACCTATCTCTAACTAAAAGAATAAGACCTATCTCTAAATAATAATAACCTAATATTTTGGCAAATATAATGACAGAAAAATGACAATTATTTAAAAGTACACAAATTTCCTGACAAATCTCAAAGTATAAGGTAGTCTTCAAATATTTAATGTTCAGAATATAATGTAATATAACTTCAAAAATATAATGATGTAATGTCTCCATATATGTATTAGTCACCTTTCCCATCAAAGAAATGTAATACCCTCATCCCACAATTTAGAGGAAAGGTTTTTTTTTTTTTTTATCTTCCTCTGGTACCGGGGACTGAACTCACGACCTTGCACTTGCCAAGCAGGTGCTTTTGCCGCTGAGCTAAATCCCCAGCCCCTAGAGGAAAGGTTTAATTTGGCTCTTGGTTTCAGGAAATTCAGTCCGTGGTAGCCTGGCTCCAAGGCAGAAATATTACAGATGAAGGGCTAGAGCAAAAATGCCTAATTCATGGTGGGCCTGGAAATAGAACAAGGGAATGATGCAACAAAGTAAGAAGACAGGTACCTGATATAATTCTAAAGGTCACATCTCCATGACTACTCAGGCACACCCAGAAGTGTGCTCGACCCATCACCTAGACTGCTTCCAAGGTAATTTGACAAAAGGAAACTTCACCTCCATACCATGAGGTAAAATACTCAGAGAAAACATCCCAAGTCTTTTTTGGCTTTCAACTCATTTTGACAATGAGGAGTGTAAACAATTGTTTAAAGCCAATCTTAGATACAGTCGTTATTTGAAGATATAGCATTAAATCATGGGTGAAAATGTTAATGGCTGGGAGGAATATCTAAGAAGGACATAACAAGAGTCTTATGTATGTTTAAACTTTTTTTTTTGGCTTTATAGGACACAAAATATGGAGAAATGATCTTCGGGCACTGTTACTTCTGCCAATTATTTGTATGGAAACATTACTGGAAAGTTGGAAGGCAGCTTGGGCTGGAAGCCATTCTATGTGTGAAGTGGTCCCAACTCTTGGATCCCCCTGAGCAAATTTCTGGGGAGGTCCACAAACAGGACTTGGAGGCCAAGAATAATGCTTTGAAGTACTTAATTACACAAGTAAAAGCCAATCCTTGGAGGACAGTACACTTGGGAGATTTCCAAAGGGGCAGGGCATCTAGGAGTTTTCTCCCATTTCTCCAGTCTAGAGTAAGACTTGTTTTGAGGCTTTAGGATTTGAGGTGAAGTGTGGGTCTGGGATTGAAAAGACTCTCTCTCACATCAGAAAGGAGGTTTTGAATCTACATGGGCCTCAGAACCAATGTGGTATCCAAAACCCATGATAGAGGTCAAAGCCACAATGCAAATATAGTAAATGAGGCTGAACTGGGTTGACAGGGTCATCACTGTGTACCCAAAAACACATATAGTATTGATACTATTGCTGTTATAGTTTATAATTGAAACTCACTAATTGTATAAATACCTTTGCCTTTTACAAATAGTTTATTTGGGTCTATTATATTCCTAAAAATTGAGAAAAAATATCTTGGATCTATAGTACTAGTAAGTATATAGGGAAAAAGTATATTTCTTAAAAATAGAAAAATATTTCAGTTTATTTGAGGAAAAAGTCATTAAGTTTATATGCTCCCATTTCACTGAATTTTTATTTCATTTAAAAAAGTAATTTCAGTGGGTGTGTCAGACTAAACTAAACCTACAATCCCTCATTTTTCATCCCTTCAGTGAGTACTTTTGGATAGATTATGGCATTCTAAAACATGTTTTAGGAAAAGTCTAGGATGAAAGGATAAATTGTTCAGAAAATACGATATCTGGACTAAAATAGTTCATGCTAATTGATAGACATGTGACTTAAAATTTTTATTTTATTGTTTTTATTGTGTGGCTTAAAGACTTCAAGTTGGTCCCCGAAATACCACATTCTGAGGTACACAATTTCATGTGATACTTTAAAAAATATGAAAGAACTTATGATTTTTTTAATTTTTAAAAAAATTGTATTAGATATGTTTGCAGTAATAATGATTACGGTTTTCATGTGAACTTGATACATGTGCATAACATATCTTAATTTTTCAATTCCTCTTTCCCTGCTGTTTACCTCCATCTCTTAGCTTCCTTCCCATTTGCAAAACACCTATCTGTCCAACTAAAAGAATAACACCTATCTCTAACTACAAAGACCTAGCTTTAACTAATAATAAGACTTACCTCTAACTAAAATAATTATGTACCATGATTATGGTACATTATATAAAATTATGTCTTTTTACTATACTCTCTCAATAAACTCTCCTTGCTGGAAAGTCAAAAGCCATAATGAGAAAGTCAACATGGCAGGAATACAGACATTCAACAAGAACTACAGGCAGTGTCTAGAAATGGAAGGCAGCCTCTAGTTAAGAGTGTTCTCCAGGGAATCAGTGCAATATTAAAAAAGAGAACACATTCTTCCATCAACCAGAGTTAGAAGAAAGGAGATCTTCCACCATTCATGTCTCCAGGTGTAATCACAGCCTTGCTAAGCTATGCTCAGATTCTTGGACTGAGGAAACTGTAAGTGCTACTGATAAATTTGTGAAGATGTGTGTCACATTAAAACATAACTAATCTTGTAGTTACCATTTTCTTTCTATGTGTGCATCTTTGAGCAAGCTATTTGAAAAAATCTTTATAAATTATAAAATTTCATCATAAAATTTTGAAGGAAGAATCATCACTTTTAAAAGTTTTTATACTTATGTGTTCTTTCTGATAAATTTTAGAGCTATCTGTGGCTCTACCAAGAATATTGAAAATAACAGTAAATGTACTGAAATTTTCCTGAATTCTAAAGCAGCTAGCTACATCAACAATGGGAATGAGGCTGATTTAAGATTTGAAAGTCCTCAAAGCCTTTAAAATTAAACTGACTACTAATGATTTCTTCTATTTTAAAATTAAAGATGACATTTAGTAAGATTTTTCAGAAGTACTTTTGAGTACATATGAACTTAAATATATGTAGGCATTTCATTTACACAATGTATGTCCTACAATATTTATCTTCCACTTAATCTAGTAATTTCTAAGAAATGTGAATTTCAAATTTATAATATGTGTCTAATCTTTAGAGGGCTTCATACTCTTTGGCATCATTATTCTTCAAAGCTAAAACAATGTAAGAATTTAAGATTTTGCTGTTTTCCTTAATATAATCTTCAATTTACAACATTTTGTAAATGCCTAGTGGTAGTTATCTAATATAGAAAGTTGAATTTATGAATTTATAATCAATATTCAGCATACCTCTAAAATTACTTAATATATTCATATTTGATGATTACATAAACTTTCATGTAGCTCTGTAGTAGTAATCCATATTTCTATAACAGTTTTGACTTATAAAACACTTAATGGGTTAAAATTCTGAGCTCATGAGCACTTTCCATTTGCTCCAGTTGTCACTCAGCCTAAATTGGAACATTAAATTGAATCTAATTGATTGATAAGAAACAGGAAATTAAAACTAGTGTTATTCAAGAAGGGTCTTGACACTACACTGTACATCCACATCAAGAAACAGAGAACTTGAGTTGTCCATTTCACATAAATAATGAATAGATGGCTAATTTCCGGACTCTCAAACTTGTGATTTTCCCATGTGATCATATAACTGCGATTGTTGTGCCTTAGACTATCTTCACATTTGAAGGCCCATTTAAATTGTCATTATTGAAAATAGTTAAAGTATACAAACACATTCTTAGGAATGTTTCAAAAGTGGACATCTTTGAGACATGATCATTTTATTCTATGAATGTGTACTTAAGCTAGAGCGAAAGACAGTGCACTTAAAATTTATTAGTAAAACAGTCATTTTCTTTTCAAGACTTCATATGCATGTATGCACCTCTGATGTGCTATTACATAAAGTGTTTTTCTTAGAAAAGGCAAGCCAGCAACATGGAAGGAGCTGTTATGTGAATCTTGGAGAGGAATTAAGGTGATAAAGGAGAAAATACATTTTATGGATATGTGGAATAATGAGCTGTTGAATCCTATTGGTGGGAATTTGTATTATTACTGTAGCTAATGTGTAAATTACTATAGAGTTCCCTCAAAAAAGTAAAAATAGAATTACCATATGACCCAGCTTTATCACACTTTAACAGATACCCAAAAGAACCAAAGTAGAGATATCTTTGTGCCCATGGCCCATGTTTATCAGGGAACTGTTTATAATATCATATCATGGAATCAGTCTAGATAACCATCAACAGATAAATGTATAAGGAGAATGTGTCACGTACGCAACATGGACTATTTTACAGCCATGGTGAACAAAATGATGCCATTTCTATGGAGATAGATGTAACAAATGATCATCATATTAAACAAAATAAGTCAGACTCAAAAAGTAGCATATGTTTTATTTCATTTTGTGGATTGCAGGACAAAAGAAAATGGAATGAAAATAGAGAGCACACTAAGAATGAGAGAAAGGAGCCCATGGACAGAAGTGAAAGGATCAGAGAAGGTCCTAAGGGAGAAAAAGGTGCTTCAAGCCCATGACATGCTGGTATTGAATTGCCTCAAAGAAACACATTATTTTGTTCATTTACAAAAACTAGTACATGTAATAATAATGACAAAATATATATTACACATGGCATAAAAATGCACTCCATCATTCTGAGCAACTTTGTACATTACTAGTAATAAAGAATATTTTAAAAATACAATTTTAAAGAGTATTTCTCAGTACAATCAAGCTGGAATGACATTTATAAACTTTATTTTAAAATTTCTCACCAGCAAAATAAAGTGGTTTGATACAAATGTGAGTGGGTTATGAGCATGGCTGAGGAAGTCAGTGTGGGCCAGAGTCCCTACACAGGACTAATGCAAGAGCTGAACTGAAAATATAAAGAATGAGCCTATAGGACTCAGAGAAGAGAAAGAGAAATTTGGGTTTCTTGATAAACTGGGAATAAAAAATTAAATTCAGCCGAAGATGTCCTAAGTGTCTAAAATGTGTCAACTCCACATCTCATTGTAAAAGTTAATAAGTCCAGACCTTTAATCTTGAGGAGTTAGATGAAAATGTCACAGTGATAGATGGATGATAGACAGATGATAGATAGATAGATACAATCAAAGTATAATCATTCTATTATTGTTATATAATGCAAGGAAGTTGCTATTATGGTAAAGGCTAAGTGGCTATCCTAGACATTTGGGAAACACTTTAAGAACTTTTGGACTTAGCTTTGAAAGATGCATAAGACTTACATTCAGGCAAATAATGTGAGAAGCAGAGTTTGATAAATGGGCAATAATAAAAAGGAATAAAAAAGGTAAAGCTCTGTGTAGGCAGCTCTGATAAGTCTCATCCTGTCAGAGCACATATTTCCAGCAGAAATGAAATTAATATTATATTCAAGGAATAGAGGACTAAACCATGGAAAATAAATTTCTGTAAAAATATGTAGAATATATTGTAGAATGTAGACTATGTAGAATGTATATAGCAGGCAATTTATAAAGGATTGAGCCAGGCATGATGATGTCTGCCTGTACTCTCAGCACACAGGAGGCTGAGGTGGAGGTTCTGAGTTGAAGGCCAACCTAGGCTACATAGTGAGTTCAAGCCCAGCAGAGAATACAGAACCAGGCCCTGTATCAAAAACAAAAGAAATAAAAAACCAAATAAATTAATTAATGATTGACTAAGACAAATTTGTTTTTCATAATTATTTCAATTGTTGAATGGAAAACATTTTTAATACAAGAAAAAGTCAAGAATGTTAGATCTTATTTATATATACTACAAAATTTGCTAGAAGTAAATTGGCACACGTGCCCTATTTTCTGTTATTTTTAACTCCACTTATAAGTAAAATAATGAAGATAATCAATTTGTCCAAGAGTGTTCTTGGAATCTCCTGGGTTTTGATTCTCCTGGAAGGGTACATTAAGATGTTATTGTGTAGCTCCTTCTAAAAGTGGCTAGCCAAATAAGCATTTTGCTGGGTTCCAGGTTGATCACCTTTCCTTCTGGAGTTGGATTCCAGGTTTTTCTTATCTCTAACAAAAAATTGAATGAAACAAGCAAAAAGCAGTGGCAAAGTTTATTTGAAAAGGTAAAAGAGAAGAGTGAGAGAAAAACTGGCTCTGCAGAGTGACCATGGGACAGGTAAAAGAGAAAAAAATCAAGATAAAAGAACACCCCCGGAGAAAGCAGCATGGGCTGTTTTGAAGAAGGCCAAGAGAGCAAGGTCTTCTCGGCATCTGTGTCCTTTTGCATTGTCCAAATCTCAAGGAAACCTATGAGCGCTTCTACATACGGGTCCTGAGTGGAGTGCTGGGATCCCATACCTCAGGCTGACATCGGGTCTAGGTCATCCTATTAAAAACCTGGTCCAGTTGTTTGGGAAATCCATATGTCAGGCTTGGGGAAGTGTTCTGCACATGTGTTCCAGGATTTTATGATTAATAGGTAGCACCGACTTCCCCAGTCAGCTTTGGCACATGGTATTCTCCTATGTCAAGAACATTAGCACCAATAAGATTTATATCTACTTTTTTTCTTCTGCCTTAACACAAAGATTCTGGTCAATACATTCTGCAAGGAGACCTTTCACTGCAGACCTGAAATTAAATTGGAAATTATTGTAGAACATGAGAGAAATGACAACAACTGGAATGCAAAGACAGATATATACAACCAATGAAAATAGATGGAAACAGAATATAAAGACAATGAGGGCAATTGAGTTAGGACTCTAGTGGGAAGGGCTTATTCTGAAATCATTGTAGTTATTGACCTAAGGACTAGAGATGCTAGGTAAAGCCCTTATTGGTAATGTGAGACTTGGGAAGAGATTGGGCAGAGGTGGAGGGTGCTGAGTCAGGCTGCAGTTATCTCGAAGCCTGTCAGAAACCCAAGGAGATATATGCAGTCAGCTGTAGGACACTATGGACAAGGTCATTAAACACAACAGATACCTTTTTAGCATGAATTTATCCTGTAATTGAACATGCCCTCAACTTTCTGTTGTTGTTTAAAACCACATTTGTTAGAATTTGGAGGTGTTGTTATTACCTTTACTCCTTCTCATGACTTCTAAAAATTTGTGTTACTTTATCCAAGATCCTGGAGTGATACTACTCCATCTTCCGTTTATAGAAAACCATGGTTCTTCATCATTCTCTCCATGACTGGATCTTCCTGGGTTTTCCTTTAAGGAAAGTTATTTTATCATTTATTCAAAGTATAATTATTTAAAGTTAGCATAATTTCAAATTCTATTCCAAATTAATTATGGAGAACCTAACATAATAAAGAATCATTCTTTCAGAAGTTTAAACTGCAGTACTTAGGAAGACAGAAGATTAGGTTCTATCCTAAGGCTGATAACAATTAAAGGTCTCTTAACAGACATTATCCAACACTTTATCAGACTTACATATAAGTAATATCGTTACTCCTGGTGCAGGGTAAGTTGATGGTAGGCAGTCAGCTTAGGGAGACAGGACTGTTTTGAAGAAGTCAGGATGAGCTATTTATTTCTGAGCATGAAAAAAATTACACTGCCAGTGGAAAAAACTGAGGAACAGGGGCTGAATGACTATTCTCTTCCTTTTTGTATTAGTGATAAACAGAAAAACTAACAATGCCACGACCCAAGAAAATTCTCTACCTATGCCTTAGCACACTAATATTAGGAAGTTCAGTCTACTTAACAAGATAAAATAATGTAAATTATGTAAAAAAAATTTAGAAAAACACTACCAATAGCTATCTAGTCAATAAATTGTCCTTATTTATAGCTTGCCTCACCCAAACTAACTTCCTCAGCAGGTTAACCCTTAATGCGTGAAATAAGACAAAATGCCATCATGGCGAATTACCAAATAGAGAGACATAAAAAAGTAAGACTCTCGGCATGCAATTTTTTACAAGACAGAAATCCAAAAGAATTACAAATACTGTCACATAGCTTCACATCCTACACATGAAATAACTGATTTTAAAATATGTATGTTCTTTACAAAGGCCTACTGGTTTATAAGTCAGTCTCATCAGAAACACCCATGTGCTTAGTGAGGGGTCACAGTGACAAGCGTACTTTTAGGCAGACTGCAACTTCAGGACACAAAGTTCTCCAAAGTAATCCATATTAGTGCTCCATATCTCTATTCCCTACTTTTATTTATGCTTCCTAGAATTATTTAATCAGGCTCATTGCACCCCAAATCCTGGAAAGATACGATAAGGTTGTAAATCAGCCTCTTCACGCTATCCCTCTCACCTACCAAACACGGATGGTCAGAAAGTACTTGGGGAGAATGTGGGTAGAGTCAGAGGGTGCCGAGTCTTGCTGTACCCATTTTGCCTAATAATCTTCTCTTGCTCACTAACGTAACTCATAGATTCTTTTTATGTGAGAAAAATCAGCGAACTTGCAACCTGCTCCGTGAGTGTGATAGTTGACTTTCCCCACCTCTGCCTTGGAGTCTCCTCGGGCGCTGTCCAGTGACAGCTTTACCTTTTCAACAGAGTATAGTTGCCAAGTTGTAGCCCTTTTACTTTGATCTCTCCTCAAACACCAAAGATACATGGTATTTTTAAAAAAATGTGTATTTTTATTTGCACTATATAATGATTATATTTTTCATGGGGCATTAGTACATGGACAAAACACTCTTAAATGTGTTCTCATCTCCTTCCCTTTATCCCCCCTTCCCTCCCTCTGTTAGCCTCCTTCCGTTTTGCAAGAGATCTATCTCCCTATTTTCTATTTATCTAGTAACATTTTGTTCTTTAGTAGTATTCTGGATTTCTTATGTAGGAGAAACTATGAGATATTAAAGAAACTATGAACTATTAAAGAAGCTATTAGATATAAATTAGAAACCATACATTTGTGTGTATGAATCATTTCACTTAATATGGTCTCAAAGAAGAGCATTTTTTGATGGTTACCCAGAAATGTACTCTCTATCATACATCACAGAAAATGAAAATCTTCCCAGTAATGCTACATGCATTCCTCCCAAAAGAAGTATGGAAATATTTAAAGTGGTGGATCTTATTATGTACAATCCTTCAATTTTTTGAGAATAATCTTCACTTTCTTAAAATTTATAGCAATATGCATGAATTGGGATTCTGTTAATGAACTTCAGTATTAGAACATTTCATTTAAGGCAACATTGCCTGTAGCATTACCAAGAAGATTGAAATTGTGTTTTCTAAATTCAGAGGATTAAGTTTGTGTGGCATGTAAAATTTATCTTTAGGATGCTCTTTAGTTCTCAGACTCGTTGCCTTTGGACCTGGAAAACCACAGGGCTGTGCTAGCTACTTGGCTATTTTTTTGTTTTTTTACAAAACTTCTCCACATGGATAACTAAAACCAGTTGTATCTGTGGAAACTGCATTTACTATTTCTTTGGTTTGGAAGATTTTGACAAAGTGTGTATTCTAGAGTAAAACAGTTAGGGGCAATAGATAACTGTTATGCTATACTGTCATCCAATATAAGTATTGAGAAATACTTAGGCAAGAAAAATGATCATTAATAAAGATTTACATTATAAAAATATGAAGCTTGAATAGTAAATGGTTAAAGCAAAATTGAAAGACCCTCTAAAAGTAAGTGCTCACTTATGAACAGAAAGAATTCCTACAATCATTAGGTAATATATCATAGGAAAGAAAACACGAGGGCTATTTCCCTTCTCTATAATTTCTCACCAGATTTATGGTTTGCTAGAGAGAAGTATTAAGGTTTGAAGAGGACATTAAATTTGGTTGTCCAATTTTGACGGGATAATCCAGGTTTTTATATAGTGAGATATACCAATGCACATTTGAAATTGCCTTTGCTCGTAATTTGTTCAGACAGTTGTACGACTGAACATTTTCAGGTATCTAATATCCAATTAAATTAGAAACCATTGAACAAATAGACTTATTCCAGAAATTGATGACAGTCATGTTTCATAAAATAATCATTTAGGTCTTGGGTTGAACAAAAATGTATTTTTACAATTTCCTTTGAAATTACATTCCTTTCAAACCATTGGATGCATTTCTGTACTTCAGTTTAAACCTTACATAGACATAATGATTACTGTATTAGTTTCAGCCTAAAAACCAGAAGCTAGCATGATATGCCAACCGAGAAAATTTAAATGCGAAGCTTTAATGCTTATAAAATCACTGGGAGTGATGGAGGAATAAAGAGAAAGAAAAGGCTCTGCTAGTCTCAAGAATAGCATAACAATACCATAAGATTGCTTTGTTTGGTTTTTTGGGTACTGGGAATCGAACTCAGGACCTTGCGCTTGTCACACAGGCACTGTCTGGCTGAGCTGCATCCCCGGCACCTATAAGGTTGTACATCAGGCCAAAAGCCAACTCCACACTGAGAGAAAATTTCAGGGAAATACATATTCAGAAGGTCCTGTGAAATTCCATGTCTACTGAATCAAGACGTCACCCAAAATGTGATGTTATGAGTGTTAGTACCTACTACCTGTCAAATAATGCACTGGAAAAGTAGGATCCCAGGAGAGTACTTAATATAATGTACATACACAAATGTTCTTTTCTCAAAGATGGAATACATCTGTGAATTTGTGGTTAATGATCCTTTCTAAGTCCACTTTTGATATTTCACCTCCAAAAACATAGATCCATTTATTTAATAATCAGTTCCTTGCATATATTTATGATGATTTTATTTTGAGATTTTAAGTTCTTTTGAATATTGTGCATTTAGATATATGGCTGAGTTATTTATTCTGGTCCATTTTTAAGTGTTCAGTCAGTTGATACAAAGTAACTTATCCTTAGAATTATTGTAGCTTCATAATATTTTAACCAATAACAAACCCATCGAGATGTGGTTTCATCCTCACATCTCCTTTTTAGTGGAAACACCTTTTTAAATTTTTTGAAATTACAAACTTTTTATCAAGTTCTCCAAATTAAATGCATTTTTACTGTGATTGTAATATAGTGTATAAATATTTTCTTTATTTTAAATATTTTAGTTAAGTGATATCTTTCCATTAATTAGGACTACATTTCCCTTTTATTTAGGCTTATTAAGGTATTACATATTACAAAAGCCTCTATTTCTGAGTATATGGATAAGTGAGAATGAGAAAATAGACACAGGCATTTAACATGACCATTAGTAAGATATGGAATATTGCCAACACAAATAGATGATCCTCTGTCTTTCAAATAAATCTAGCAATGGACTGAGTTTTGTTTCCTTGTAATTTTGCTTCTTCTACAAAATCACATTGGAGCAACTTTTTTTGGAGGGGGGGTACTGAGAATCAAACTCAGGACCTTGCACTTGCCAGGCAGACGCTGTGTCCCTGAGCTATATCCCCGATCCCTCAAACATCATATAACTGAGATCATACAACTTACTTTCTTTATCATCTTGCTACTTTAAGTATTGCACATTTAGTATCTGTTACATATTGAGGTGGGAGTATGTGCTAACAGTCTTCCTTTTAGTTGCAGAATATTATTACACCATGGTTATATGTTCCTATTTGCTTGTCTTTTCATAACTTGATGTACTTCTCATGTTTCATACTCTGAGGTGCTTATTGGGAATTTTTTAAACATTTATTGTGTTGTTGCTACTTTATAAAAGATGGAATTCTATATTTTGTTTATCCTGTAGAACATGGAACATGATTAGATATAGACTTTTGAATAAATAAGAAGTTCTGAATGATAATAATTAATATCTTTTACCTGAGTTTGCATTGACTTTTTTTTTTGTTGTTTTTTTCCAGTACCGGGAATTGAACTCTCGACCTTGTGCTTGCCAGGCAGGCTCTGTGCCACTGAGCTAAATCCCCACCCCCTGCATTGACTTTTAAACTTAGCGAATTATGTTACATTTCTTAATTTTATTATCATCTCAGACAATGCAATTCACTTATCCATGTAAAAAGGTGTGTCTCTTCTTTCGGTCAACCTCAGTGTGGAGCTTTATTGTGATTTTGAGATTTCAATAATTTCTATATTTGTTACAAAAATTTTACAGAAATACCTAACCGGTATAATTTAAATCCAAGTAATAACTGTTTGGCTTAAACACACTTAGACTATCAAAATCATTTCATTTTTTTTCTCAATACTAAGGAAATGTGTATATGACTTCATGTAAAATGTTTTTTTCCTTGTTTCTCTAATAGTATATAATTTATAGTTAAATATATATTTTAACTTAAATTATCAAAAAATTGCCAGTAATTAATGATATAGTATATTTTTCTATTATAATAGTATAGTGTTTCCTTTTTGACCAATTACTGAGTGTTTTTATTTATTGTAACTCAGTATGTTGTAATAATGGCCAAGATTAGTATAATCTTGCTAATTTAATTGAAGAGTAAACAAAAACCCTGAATCAAAATGTATAGACATTTCTAACTATCATGTTAATGCATCCTTGATTTACATGATCATACTTGCTCTTTTGTATTGTGTTATCACGACATATTAAATTTGAATATGGACAGAATTTTGACATCACTGACTTTGATGATATAAAGCAGAAATATATAGCAATATTTAAATTGTATACTCATGGAGAGTGTCAGTTGCCTAAGATACTGACAGTTAATTTAATTTTGCATTTAAAAGTGAACGTTCATAATTTATTAAAATACTATGAAGATGTCATAAATACTTCAATTCCATTAAATGTGTTCTCATTTATGATATATCATTCTCAGAATATAACTATTATTATTAAATTATACATTTTAATTTACTTAAATTACTATTTCATTTTAGCTTAATTCTTGATTGTGAAGGCTAAATGTGAGTCCTATATACTATTTCACAATGTATATATGGTATATATCATTTACACAGAATAATAGATTTATTTGTGCCATTTTCATACATGTATATAAATTCTTTGATCATATCCATTTTTATTACTATCTCTTACCTCAGTCTCATTTCTCTCTAGTGCCTACCTACCTAATAGTTTCCTCTATTTTCATGTTGTATTTTTGGTTTCATGGGGTTTTTTTTGTTTTTTTTCCGGTACCGGGAATCAAACTCACGACTTCTCGCTTGCCAGGCAGGTGCTGTGTCACTGAGGTAAATCCCCAGCCTGCTTCATGTTGTATTTTTTCAGACACCACATGTGAGAGAAAACCTGTGATGATTTTCTTTCTGCTTATTTCTTGCTCCACTTGGTAGGATGATCTGCAGTTACATGCACATTCTTATAAGTCACGTAGTTTGTTCTTCTTTATGTGTAATAGTTGTGTACATTGAGGAAAATTGTCTTTCTAAATTAATCCACTCATGAGAACCAAGGCTTATTCTATAACTTGGCTATCATGAATTATGTAACGGTAAATATGATTATGAACAGAACTTTCTCCTTCTAAGTGAACTTTTGTTCTTTATGGTGGAATAATAACTTCGTTGTGTGAACACACTGTCTATTCTTTATCCATTCATCCACAGATGAGCACCTAGGCTAAGTCCGTAACTTGGCAATTATTATGAATTGTGCTATGATAAATATGCGGGTATTTCTACAGTGCACTGACTTGAATTCTTATAGGTACAATTAGATTTTATGGTAGCTCTATTTTCGATGTTTTGAGCATCTCCATGCTGATTTCCATAGTTATTAGACTAATTTTAAACTGATAAACAATGTAAAAGGGTTGCTTTTTCTCCTCATCTTCACTGGCATTCTTAATGATAGTCATTTTGAAGGACTGAGATGGACTAATATGGTTTTCATCTGTATTTCTCTGATGGTTAGAGACAGTAGCACTGACCATGTGTGGTGGTGCCCTTGTGGGAACTAAAGTAAGAGGGTCACAAGTTCAAGGTCAGCCTGGGCAGCTTAGTGTCTTAGTAAGAACTTGCCTCAAATTAAAACAACTTTTTAAAAACAAGGGATAAGGATACAGCTCACTGTGAAAGATACTGGGTTCAATCTCCAGTACATCAAAAATTTTTCTATATTATTTTCTATATTCATTAAACTGATTGTTCAGTTGGTTATCTCATTTATCAGATTACTTACACTTTTTGTGCTTTTTGAGTTCTTTATATATTCTGAATATTAATCCTCTCTTTGGAAACCATCTGGATAGGTATATCTCTCACTCTTTCAGCTATTTCTCCATTCAGCTAATTGCTAATTGTACTATGTGAAGTGTTTTAGACATAATCCAGTAGGTCTATTCTTGCTACCATTTCCTGAGCTATCAAAATTCTATACAGGAAGTATTTGCCAATACCTACATTTTAAAGCATTTTCTTTACTATTCTCAAAACTTTAGGTCACATAAGCACTTCTATTCATCCCAAGTGTATTTTTGTTCAGCAAAAAGGCACACAATTTCAACATTTTATACAGAGTTATCCAGCTTTCCTGTTCAATTTGTTGAAGATGCTCTTTTCAATGTATGTTTTTTGTAGCTTTATCAAGACTCTAATGGCTGTAGCTGTGTACATTCATTTATAAGTTCTCTCTTCTATTAAATTGGTCTAAGTGTTTATTTTGTTGCATGTATAGCAATAATGAATTCACTCCAAAAGAAATCAGAAAAATAACTCCATTTAGAATAGCTTCAAAACTAATAAAATATCACCAAGAATGAACATCACCAGGAAGACAAAAAGCCTGCACAATTAATATTATGAAACCCTAAAGAAAGAAACTGAACAAGGTACAGGAAGATGAAAAGACCTCCAGTGGTCAAGGATTGGAAGAAATAATATTGATTAAATGGTCATACTAACAAAATTCTTCTACACTTTACATGGATTTCCTTTCAAGATATCAGTGTCATTCTTCACAAACCAGATAAATAAGCCTAAAATTCACATGGCAGCACAAATAATACTGTATCTGTCACTTTCCTTTAATGGGACAAAATACTTTACATACCCAAATTTATGAAGCATAGGTTTCAGAGAGTGCAGTCTAACCCTGTCTGACTCTAAGGCAGTATTGACATGATAAGGAGGTATGGCACAAGAAAGATGTTTAATCAGTTGCAGCCAGGAAACAGAAGTAAAGGAGTAGCCAGGAACAAGAATATACTTGTTTAGTTTTCATCCCAAGTAACCTACCTCCTCCAACCAGGCCCTTCCTAACAGCACATTCAGCTATGAACCCCTTGGTGTAATAATCAACTCCTGAGTAGTATTTACCATGAACCAATCATCCTCCAAAAGTTCTACCCCTGCATACATGAGATTTGGTGGGGGCATTTTATATGTAAACCAATGAAATCATAAGTAAAAAGAACAATGCCGGAGCCATCACAATTCCATTTTCAAAATATACTATAGAGTCATTGTGGAAAAAAACAGCATAGTCTCTAATTATTCATGCAGAAGAATACTACGTAAAATATTATTTTAAATGCTTGCTAATATTACTGTCCATTAAATATTTCAGTTTTCTTATTTTCAACTTTTTCTCTTGATGCAATTAGTATAAGAAGATTGTAAATCCCAGAAAAAGACCCATTGCAATGATGACAGCAAAGATCATCTCTAATTAACCATGCAGAACTGAATTTCTACAATTTCTGCTGAATACATCTTGAGCTACCAGTTTACCAACTGCATGAGTTCAGAACACGTACAACTGGTTACACAACATGAATTTTCTTCTTTTAGAAACATAGCAAGGGATAAAAGAAGCATAGGATCTATTAGGACTGGTTCTGAAAGGCTGAAGAAAGCTCTCATTATGGGAGGAGTCCTAACTGTATGTGTCTCACTTACATCGCTGATGAGGGTCCTAGAAAGTCAATGCACACTGACACCCCCATGGAGGGTATCAGTGTGTCCCACCTGGCAATATGGCACATAAATGCAAAATAAAGGCAAAGAGAGAAAGATCTGTAGTTGAGGAGCTCTGGGATGGCCAATGTTCTCTGGGGAACAAAGGCTTACTGATCCAAAAGCTCACTGCTTTTGTTTGGGTGTAGGTGGGTGTAACAGCAGAATGCTAGGAAAAGGAAACTCTGTAGGCATTGGCTGTAAGAGGAAACAGAGTCATTTTGTACCAGGCACAGAGGCTCTCCAATTAGCAATATGAGGGATCCTTTGATGCATTTAAGGCTGGCGCCTTCACTGCCAGAAAGGTATAATTTTTTTGAGTTCCATGCCTTATCTGGGATGCTATCTCATGTTTGAGCCCTGGAATCTAACAGGCTCTTGCTTGAGATCTCGTTCCAACCATGGGGTGGGGGAGGGACTCAGTTACATTCTTTTAGTTAATTAAGGGAATACTAGTTTCGGAATAGCCAGCTCTGCATATCTCAGTGAACTGGGTTAAAGGAGAGGTTAGGGAAAGACTGAGACAAGGAACTTCCTTTCTCTGGAGAGTGCAGCTTGAAACACTGGCTGGATAAATTCCCCAAGGTAATAAACTGAATGAAGAAAGACAAAATCCTTAAAAGTTACTAATGACTACTTAGGTAACATTCTCATAATAAAAAAATGTAAAGACCAAGAATATATCAATGATTGCTAAGGATTAAGATATTGGGATGATTAGGTATAATTTTTAAAGATGGCACTAAGGAATTCCTTGATTGTAATATAGTAATGGAATAGTAAGA